ATGAGCAGAGAGAGAGAGAGAGAGAGAGAGAGAGAGAGAGAGAGAGAGAAATTAACTACTCATTATTCATGCTTTCTAAGAGATCCTGTGTACAATGATATTTTGGGGCACCCAAAGTTCTCTCTGACTAGCTAACCAACTAGATATTTTTTTATGATACAGTTATTAAGAAAAAATGGATGGTGCTGCACACCTTTAATCTAAGCACTTAGGAGGCAAAGACAGGCAGATCTCTGTGAGTTCAAGGCCAGCTGTAGGCCCTTGTCTCAGAAGAAGAAAGGAGGAGGAGGAGAAAGAAGAGGAGGAGAAGGAAGGAGGAATAAGAGGAAGAGGAGAAGAAAAAACTGAGCTAATGAGCTATCTTAGCTGGTAAAGACCTCTGCCACAAAGACGGATGACCAGAATTCAGTTCCTGGAGCTCAAATGGTAGGAGAGCACCAATTCCTACAAGTTTTTCTCTGACCTTAACACACACACACCATGGCTAACCATGTCTACCCATCTACATGCAAAAATAATGTCTGTTTGGCTTTTTTAAAATAGTAACTACTGGGGTTGGAGAGATGGTTCAGCAGTTAAGAGCACTGGCTGTTCTTCCAGAGCTCCTGAGTTTAATTCCCAGCAACCACATGGTGGCTCACAACCATCTATAGTGTGATTTGATGCCCTCTTCTGGGATAAAAGTATAGATGAAGGTAGGGTACTCATACATAAAGTAAAATAATAAACAAATATTTAAAAAATATTAACTACTAATGATATATTACACAGATCTATTCCTTAGTGCTGAAAGATATGTATCTATAAGAACCTCAGAATAAAGGAATGAACAGCCACAAATTCAGTAGATGAAAAAAAAACACCGGTTTAAAATGAGATTAAACTGGGCAGTGGTAGGCATGCCTTTAATCCCAGCAGTCCAGAGGCAGAGGCAGGTGGATCTCTGTGAGTTCGAGGTCAGCCTGGTCTACACATAGTTAGTTCCAGGCCAGGCTTCAAAAGTAGAGAAACCCTGTCTCAGAAAAAAAAAAAAAAGAGAGATTAAGTAACCTACAATTAAAACAGTTGGTAAGGTACAGAACCGGGATCCATTAGATTTAATGCAGATATCAATACAGAGTCTCACACTTGTAATCCCAATACTCAGGAGGCTTGAGGCAGGATTTCTGTGACTTTAAGGTGAGCCTGGACTACCTTTTAAAAGAAGAAACTGATCCATCAAATTTAGCTATGTAGACAATACTAAATCAGAGCAACTTATTACACAGTCCTAGGAATTTACCCAGCATAAATCAAAACACGTTTACATGAAGACCTCAGTCTTTATTCACATCTCCAAGAATGGAGCACAATCACCCATCAGTACATGGATACACCAAGGAACAGAAGAGTGGTCAGCAACATGAAAAAAAGAATACCAAAGCATGCAACAAAGCAGAAATCTCAAAAGTACTGCAAGAAATCTTCAACATCAGGAGCAGCTATGTGTGTTGCCTCACACTTGTAATACTAGCACTAGGGAGACAGAGGCAGAGGCAGGAGGATCCCAAGTTTGAAGTTGGCCTTGGCTATACAATGGAGAAAAAAAAATAAAGAACTTAGAAAGAAAGGCTACAAAAGTCTAAGATTTACTAATTTATATGGTATCTAGAAAAACCAAAACTACAAAAACAGATCAGTCTTTTGAGGGGCTATAAAAACAAAACTGCAAAGACCAAAGATCAGTCTTTCAGGGGCTATGTAGAAAAGAGATTGGCTACACAGGGACTGACATATATGTAGAAAAAAAGAATAAAATATGTTGAGTTTCGCCAGGCATTGGTGGCGCATGCCTTTAATCCCAGCACTCGGGAGGCAGAGGCAGGAGGATCTCTGTGAGTTTGAGGCCAGCCTGGTCTCCAGAGCGAGTGTCAGGAGTTTGAGTGTCAGCCTGGTCTACAAGAGCTAGTTCCAGGGCAGTCTCTAAAGCCACAAAGAAACCCTGCCTTGGAAAAAAAAAATGTTGAATTTCTAGTAGAAACAAGACAAAAACAGACTTAATAAATAAATAATAATAATAAATAAAGATAGCAGTACTATCACAACTAGAAAGGCTTTTTTCAATTAACCCTCCCTGACTAGCATGGTAGCCCACACTTGTATCCCAGTCCTTTGGTGGTGGAGGCAGGAGAATCAGGAATTCATGGCCAGCCTCAGCTCCACAGTGACAACCCTGCTTCTATGAATGAGCATGTGTATGTGTGTGTGCACGTATGCATGTGAAGGGGGAATTCCCAAAGCATATAAAAATTCAGTATTTAATAAGTAGGCATGCATGTTAGTTTAAAGCAATCTGAAAGAAGATTAAAGAATACTAAAGAAGGTTGAAGTTTTTCAAAGACAAGTTTTATAAAAACAGAAAAAGTTGAGATGTTCTCTGAAATTTAGGAAACTAGATTGACAACTTGTTATTCTTTTCTTGAGATGACAGCTGACCTAGAACTTATGGACTCTAGGAATTCCATTACCCCAGTTCTAAGTGGCTCTGCACCTCCATGCCTAGCATATCTCTTTAGGGGATGGGGGTGGAGAGGTTAATTCTGAGACAAGTTCTTGCTCTGTAGCTTAGGCTTAAACTTTCTAAAAGTGAGTCTTAGCAAACACCATAATCAGCATACTTTTAAATACATTTACCCTGTGTGTGTGTGTGTGTGTGTGTGTGTGTGTGTGTGTGTATTCACATATTGTGTACAATGCTGCTTTGCATATGCCATGGCGCATGTGTAGAATCAGAGGCCAACTTACAGGAGCTGGTTTTCTCCTTCCACCATGTTGTTTCCAGGGATAGGACACAGGTCTTCAGGGTTAGCAAGCACCCCTACTCAGGGAGCCATCTTAGTAGCCCACTTTTCTTTCTCTTTTTCTTTTTTTTCTTTTTTGCTACTCCTGGGGATGAAACCAGGACCTCACATACACTCTACCAAATGCTCTACCACTGAACAGTAGACTTTTCTTTTTTAACACTATTTTTCAGGGCAGTTTTAGGTTCCCAGGAAAATGAAATATAACTCAGATTCTTCTTTAAATGAATATTTACCTCTAAGATGAGATTAAGGTTTGTGGTGAGAGCTTGTACACGGTGAAAACCAGCAATCAGTGAAATGGGCAGGAATCCCTGCTCATCCATCTTTCTTCGAAGAAAGAAGTCCCGCTCCAAGTTCTCTGTGCTGAAGTAATACTCACTAAGAAAGGAGAGGACATGAGTTCATCCACTCATTCAGCAACATAGAGATATACACACTGCTTACAACAACTGCTACCAAAATATTCTCCTCTGGTTAATAATACTATCTTACAGGTTAAGCAAAACATACATAGTATAACATAGCACAGGACAAATATTAGACCAAGCAAAACCCTGCTCAACTGACAATTTCTCTTACACATAAGCAGAAACTGATTAAAAGCTAACACTATCAAGATTAACTTCACTTAAGTCTAACAACAAATTAATCTATTTGTTTATGTTATTATTCGGAATCCAGCCCTGTGCACACTGGGTAAGTGGAAAAATCTACAGCCCTGGATTTTTCAATGAGCCATTCATTCACTGAGATTTCATTACTAAGCCACCTCTATCTGCTTCATTTAAATACTAAATAACAAAACTAAACATCAGTTTTACTACCTCCCAAGTCATTCCTAATCACTACAGTTAACCTAAACAGACAACAGGATGGCATTATTTGGACCCTTAGCAACCAGCACACAGCTAAGTAAAGAACATGACAACACAGTTACATTTATATACCCACAATCATACATAGCTCCTAGAAGCCCAGGATTTGATCCTCAACATTTCAAAAACAAAGGGAAGAATGAATATAATGTAGCTAAGAAAGAAATATAAATGACCTTTCCCCAGACAGAATATAAACTGACACTGTCAGTATGACCAAAGACTATAAACTTCAAGACAAAGGTAAGTCATAAAAGAGACCCAGAAGAACAATATTTAATAAAATAATTTGGAAATCATACATTTAAAGTATAGCATCCATATAATAAAAAGACAGTAGGATTCGAAGACAAAGATCAGAATCCCAGACAGGATAAAAGAGAAACCCATGGTGACATAGCACAGCTGCCAATCCTACAGATTCTCAATTCCAGAGAAAGTTCAAAAGGCAGCAAGTTAGGAAAAGACACAAACTTCACATATTTTAGTGTAAAACTCCATTACTAAGTAACCTTGAGGTCCTTAGGACAAATTCTAACCTGGTTCTTCTAAGCACCTCTAAATAATAACTGGTTTGGGGTAACATTTCACTTATGGGAGGGGGACAATTATCCTACTTTTTAAACATAGGACATCTAAATTTGTCTTCTGTGATATTCATTCATAGTGAAAAGTTCTCATAGGGGCTATTTTACTGGCATCTCAGCAACACTAATAAGTATTTTACTCTTAAGTAATAAAAAAAAATCAAAGTTGTAAATTCTGGTTTTTACTGCATCTCAAATGCCTAATCACAATGACTCAGAATCTTGAAATGTATGAGATTATGAAACCTGGGACAGTATACTAGACATTGATGCAGTCACAAGTTAAAATTGTACTTCCATACAAATTCCTTAAATCAGTAATACGCTTCCCTTTAAATGTAATCAACTGTGAAGACCAAACTATGTAAGTAAATCAACAAATCACTATTAGCTATAGTCTATGCTGGATTACAAACATGCAAATCTGTATATCTGAATGACAAGAGACCATCCTCTCCAAATAAATTTAACCCAGTGTAGTGACTAGCTAGTACTTGGGAAGTAGAGGCAGGAAGGACCAGGAGTTTGAAGCAAGCCTGGGCTCCATGAGTGCCTATCACAAAAGGAAAAATAAAACTTAAAATGTATTATTGATATAAAAATTTTCATTTAGAGTCATGGAGACTACCCATTAGGGATAGTGAAGCATATTACTTTAAAATTTATTTCAACTACCTAGTTATTTTAGCTGGTTAGAATGTGGTACTATTAAAAACAAATTTAGCACCAAACTATAATGAAAACTTAAAAAATCCAAACCCAAATAGATCACTTTTCTAAGTACCAGACTAGAACACAAAGTCTAAAGAGCAATTCCTCAAAGCCACAGCTCCACTGAGCAGAGTGTGAACCAGCTTTCCTAAGTGATCCTCCACTGATGTTTGCCAAAATTCCTGCCTGAAATCCCTGAAACAACAAAAAGGAGTCATGACTCATGTCTGACACTTTGCTCAGTGTCTTTGGGGACATACATGTCCTACCTTAATAGCTCTGCATTCTATACTGCATGACCAGAAACTGTCAACAAGGAAGTAGCTCTGCTCCTCACACATATGAGCACGGTAGAGGCTGAATATCCTGACATGGAGTTACGTTTGTTCACTGTCAGATCTCAGAAGAGACCTAACAGTAAGTTACAAACAAAACAAAACAAAACAAAACAAAACAAAACAAAACAAAAAGCGAGAGACAGGAATAATGGTATGAGGTTGACAGTCACTTTCTGGCCATAAAAAGACCCTTTTCAGTTTTGTGTCAACCTTAACAAAGAAAGTAAGAACAAAATAAGCAGTTGTTCTGCACTGAGTTAAAGGCCATCACATCTACCACCAAGGCTACCATAGGTTCCTGGCTGATGCCAATGAAGAAATTAATTTCACACAAGGAATCCAGCTTCTTTTTTATAAAAATGGTTGTTTTTTTAAATGCTTATGCCTTCTCAAAGAGTCCATTTTCCTTTACCATGCAAGACAGAAAAATAATTAAGATTTTATCCAGTTTGTTAAACAAATCACTTGGAAAGGTTTTCTTTTTTTCTTTTTAAATCATTATAAACCTATCATCCAAATACTCAAAATGCATATTTAATACAAGAGGGCTAGAAAACAACTATTATGGAAAACTAAGGTCTGAACTAAAATATCCATTTAATAAGTGTCTCACAAAGAAATAAGAATATAAGTTAAAGAGCTTAAAGATTAAAAAACAGACAATGCAGAAATCAGTTATTATGAAATATTAAAAGACATTGGGCACCATTTTTATCATTTGCAAGTGTTTTTATTATTGTTATTTTTTTATATGAGACAGGGTTTTGTTCCATGTCTCAAGCTAGCTTTGAACAAATAGCAATTTTGCTTCACCCAGTACTGGAATTATAGGCTTGTACCACCCACACACAGCTCATTTACAAATTTTAATATAAACATCTATTTGCAAATGAGACACATTTTACTTAATTTTAAATAATATATAGAAGTTTTACAGTCTTTTTGATATTTTACTCATTATGCAATGATACATATAACACACACACACACACACACACACACACACACACACACACACGTTTTTTTTGAGACAAGAGTTTCTCTGTGTGGCTTTGTAGATCAGGCTGGCCTCAAACTCAGAGATCCACCTGCCTCTGCCTACCAAGTGCTAGTATTAAAGGTATGAGCCACCCCTCCTCCCCCGCTTGGGCCTATACAATGATATTTTAACTAGTCTTAGGAAAATAACAAGAACATGGAGAAAAACTTGTGGATATTTATTTTGTCACTGTCTCCTAGAAAAAAATCAAAATGATATTCTCATTCTAATTTTTCTTACTGTTTTAGAAATATGATAAAATAGTTAAAGATATAAGTTTGCTACAGAAACAGATGTTACTGCCATCTCTGTCTATATCAACTTACATTTGGCGCTTAATGTACTCTTTAAGCAGTGTTTCTTCCACAAGATATACCTGCACACCTGTGCCATCATCATAGTAATACATCATGCTGGTGTTAAGCTCTGTGGGAAATGGTTGATCAGTTCTTTCCCCTGGCTCTCGATAACCATATGAATAATCAAAGTTCACTGGACACAAAGTAAAAGAAAAGAGATCACAAGTTAAAAAACAAGTAAGCCATAACTGTAAAGAAAAATCCAAACTTAAGAACTTCAAACACAAAACCAAATTTACTGTCAAACCAAAATAATTAACAAAAACATTGTGCAAAAGGGCCAGTAAGATGACTCGGCAGGTAAACCAAACCTGATACCCTGAATACAATCCCTGGGTCACACATGGTATACTCGTACACACACACACACACACACACACACACACACACACACACACAAGAAAACTAACAAAATAGAGGGTAATATGAAAAATGAGAACATTTGCTAACTTTTTTCAAAGCTAATCCAACATAGAAAAAAAAAAAATCTAATGTCATACATCTAGGGTTTCCTCGACCTCGGCCTCTTCCCCGGCCCCGGCCTCTTCCCCGGCCTCTTGCAGAACCTCGGATGGTACCACCCTCACTTCTCACACTGGATACTTCATCTTGATCATCTCTCTTTTCTCTATCCCGTCTCCAACCTTAAAATAAAAATTTTATACATTCAAATTTGTAGTAAAATTATAGGATCACCTCTATGAAAGATAGTAATTACCAAGTGCACACCTTTAATCCTAGTGCTCAGGAGGCAGAGACAGAGGCAGGCGGATCTCTGTGAGTTCGAGGCCAGCCTAGAGTGAGTTCCAGAACTGCCTCTAAAGTCACAGAGAAACCCTGTCTCGAAAAAACAACAACAACAAAAAGATAGTAATTACCTTCCCCCCATTTTTCTCCTTGGATTTTTAAAATCTTTTATTTATTCTTCAATAGTTTCATATGTGTTTACAGTGTATTTTGATTATAGTCATCTCTAATCAACATTTTTTTTTTTTTTCAGACAAGGTGTCACTATGTAACTGGGGTGAATTACAAGTACTCCCTACAGGTACCATGAACAAGAAAATAACAAGCAAAACAAGAATATACAAATAGCCAATGAACATAAAATACAATGCTTCATCTGATTGGCCCTGAGGAATGAGCCACCTATCCAGTCTGACAGGCATTTTAACGTCCTGTGATATCAACTGTTTTGTTTTGTTTTTGTAATATAGAGCATTACAAGTGCTATCTTAGCATTCTACAACTGAGGTATGCTATGTGGCCTAAAATGCTGAACAAAACAGAAGAGCCATGACAGTGTGTACTATTAGTGAGAGCGAAAACATCAACTTCAAATTGGAATAATCCAATCATTATGAAGACCAATTATAGAGACAAGGTTTTTCAACCTCATACTTTTGATGTTGGTGAGAAGAGGGTGAAATGGAGTTACCTTGTGTGCTGTGAGTTCAAGGTCAGCCTGGTATACATAAAAAGTTCCAGAATAACAATAATAATCTTATTATCTTTTTAAAAAAAAATCATTGTCAGGAAGACAAAGAAAAAGAACTGTTAAGACAATGATGGAGATTAAAGAGAAAGATAACTAAAGTGATGTGTAATGGGAAGACAGAGGGCTGTAAGAAAGACTAGACGCCCAGAGTGATGGCACCTTTCTGTAATCCTAGCATGTGGGAGGCTAAGGCAGGAAGATCACAAGTCTGAGGTCAGGCACATGATAAGTGCCTGGCTAAACCCAGCTAAGTAGTGAGATCCTGTCTCAAAATATAAAATAAAATATAAAGTTAAAATAAAACCAAAATTGGACATAAGGTTAACAGTTACACTGCTAACATTCAGCTTTGTTGGTTAAGTGCCATAATTACACTATTCTTTAGATATGTCTTCTGAAGGTATGTAGGGTTAGAGATTTGTCTGCAGTTTACTCTACACAGCTCCAATGATAAAACACTAAAGCTATGTTCACTCCAATTTCATGGCACTCTTGAAATGACACTTACTTCTTGTATCACTTTTCCTATTACTGTGAGCTGGTTTATTTGCTTCAGGTTGACATCTAGAGCTGTTCCGGGACCCAGGTCTTTCCTGGCTGTCTGGTCTCACGTCATCCAAGTGGAGTGGTACCCATTTGTGCTTATTAGCTTGAAGAAACAAAACAAAATAATTTCATGACAATGTAAATATTCATTAAAGCTCTGCAATTCTGAAAGCACTCTGAACTTTTAAAGATTCAGCTGCCTTTAAATGGATTATCTACAGATTACCAAAATAATCCTTTCCCATACTTATAGACTTATCCTTGATAAGTTTGTGGAAATATTTCAAGAGAAATAATATCAAGTGAAAGGCCAGCAATTAAAAACAAATCAAACAAATACCCCAGAGGCTGGGGATATGAGTTCATTAGTAAACACTAGCTGGCCAAGCACCAGGACCCGAACTTCACCCACAGCAGCCACATCAGAGCAAGGCTTATTTATAATTTTAACACTTAAGGTTGAGGAGGTTGAGACAAGAGGATCCCTGGGGCTCACTGTTCAGCAAGTTTCAGGTTCAGTAAGAGGTAAGAGAACCCATCTCAAATAAGACAGAGAGAGCAACTGGCCTTTTATATACATATGCATTCACATCCACATACCACACACACACATAAACATACAAAACAAAACCAGGGACTTTGGTTTTAGAACACTGTCTGAAGTAATAATCATTTGTTCATCATTACTACTAAGTGGTTTCTCAAAGCATAGGAATAAGCATAGGTGCTTCCTCTCTGACACAATAATCTTTACAGTTATTATATTACAGCTGTCACAGATACAATGAAACTGAGAGAACCTGGGCAAAGTGGCTCATGATGCCTATAATTCTAGCATCTGAAAGGCAAGAGGAAGTTCCAGACTATCCTGAGATACACACCAAAGTTCTAAAGGAAAGAAAGTGGTTGTGATGTTAATTCCTTTTCCCCAAGACTGGATTTCATTATGTAGCTCTGGATATCCTGGACCTTGCTCTGTAGACCAAGCTGGCCTTGAACTCACAGAGATTCACCTGCCTCTGACTCCCAAGTGCTGATATTAAGGTGTGCATCACCATTGCCCAACAATGATGTTAATTTCAACTGTCAATTTGAAAGGATTTGGAATCACCAAGGGAATGAGACTCTGGATTTAAAGGGATTTTTTTTCTAGATTCTATTAAGGTGGGCCTTACTTAACAGTGGCCAGCACCACTGGGCCAGCTTTAATGGGTTAAAACATAGGAGAAAGAGGCAAAAAAAGGAGAGCAAACGCTTCATGACTGGGGGTGAGATATAGCCAGCTGCCCCAAGTTCCTGCCTCTATGGCTTCCCCACCATGTAGGTATGTATCCTTTAACCATGATTCAAAATAAATCATAGCATCAGGAAAAGGAGCTAATCAAGTGTGGTAGCTAGTTCAAGCCTGTAATTCCAGCATGTTAGTGTTGAGGCAAGAGAATTAATAGTTCAAAGATAAACTGAATTCATAGAAAGACCCTGCAGGACAAAGGGAAGATGACTGTTGGGAAAAAGAATATATGGCTGGCAAGATGGCTTAGCAGGTAAAGGCACCTACCAAAAAACTTGATGTTGCAGAATATTTGTTTACACTGTGAAGATGTACCTTTGTCAAGGCACCTTCTGGTTAGTTTAATAAAGAGCTAAATGGCCAACAGCTAGGTAGCAAGGCTAGGTGGGACTTCTGGGACTCTAGGAAGGGTGGAGATGCAGACACATGGAAGAAGCAGGATGGACAGTAAGCAACAGAATGCAGATTAAAATAAATGGGTTAATTTAAGTTAGTGGGACAAGTCTAGGCTAAGGCTGAGCTTTCATAATTAATAATAAGTCTCTGTATTTGTGAGTCTGTAGTCAAACTACAGCCTGACTGAGTTTGATCCTTAAAACCTATATAGTATAACGGTTAAGAGCACTGGCTATTCTCCTAGAGAACCCTGGTTCAATTCCTAGCACCCACATGGCAGCTCACAGCTGTCTATAACTCTAGGGGATCTGATACCTCATGCTTATAAAATAAAGTTAAAAAATTATTTTTTAAAAAACTCATATAGTAAGAGAAAATTGACTCCTGCAAGTTGCCTTCAACTTCCACATGTATTCTGTAGATGCACACAGTTATATATGTGGTGATGGTGCATGCCTTTAATCCTGGCAGAGGCTGAGGCAGGCAGATTTCTGAGTTAGAGGCCAGCCTGGTCTATGAATCTACTTCTTAGACATCCAGGGCTACACAGAAAAACCTATCTCAAAAAACCAAACAAACAAACAAGCAAAGCCTTAAAGAGTATAGAAAGCCCGTCCCATGCTATCTGCCCTCCTAACCCAATCTCATGCTTGTCTACTTTATCTTTTTTGCTTTTCAAAACAGGGTCTTGGTCAAGACAGGGCCTTGGCTAACTTAGTACTCACTAAATAACATAGGATGGCCTCAAACTTGCATTCCTCCTGCCTCTGCTTCCCACATGAATGATAGGTCAAGCTCTTTGTGTATGTATGTATGCATTCATGCACATGTGTCATAGGTTCATGTTGTACATGAAGATCAGAGAACAACCTTTGGAGTCATCCTCAGAAAAACTATCCCTTTCCTTTGAGACTAAGTTTTTCGCTGACCTTTAGGTCACTAATTATGCTAGATTGGCTGGCTGGTAGGCCCTATAGAACCTCCTAAATTCCAGGCAGTCGGGATTATGTAGAGAGACCATGTCTCAAAAAAACCAAAATAAATAAAAGAGTAAGTAATAAAGTAAAACAAAACAAAAAACCCAGCATGTGCTTGATTTGATGAACTGTTTTCCCATGCAAAAAAAAAGTGCTCCTGGTTGGGCAGTGGTAGTGAATTCCTTTAATCTCAGTACTCAGAAGGCATAGGTAAGCAGATCTTTGTTAGTTGAACTACAAAGCTTGTATCAGGACAGCTAGGGCTACACAGAGAAACCCTGTCTCAAAAACTAAAAATAGGGGCTGGAAAGATGGCTCAGAGTTTAAGAGCGCTGGCTACTCTTCCAGAGGTCCTGCATTCAATTCCCAGCAACCACATGGTGGCTCATAACCATCTGTAATGAGATATGACTCCTTTAATCCCAGCACTTGGAAGGCAGAGGCAGGCAGATCTCTGTGAGTTCAGCCTGGTCTAAAAGAGCTAGTTCCAGGACAGCCTCCAAAGTCTCAAAGAAACCCTGTCTCAAGGAGGAGCTGGATCCCTGGGACTCACATTGTGGAAGGAAAGAACCAGCTCCTGCAAGTAGTCTTTTGCCCTCCTGCCCCCATAGTAAAAAAAATAATATAAATTTGTCAATATTATCTTCTCCATTGAAAAAACACATACACAGTAGGTGCACAATTCATAACTTGCATATTATCTAAATTTATCTACCTATATATAGAACACTAGACATAAGTATTGACCAATAGATTTCAATTGAAGCAACCAAAACAAAGACAAATTTTAGAGCAAATTGACAAGTCTTTCATAACTATGAATTCTAGATAGCCATGAAGACTATCATATATATATAAAAGCAGAAAAAAAATGTTGAGCAGTAAGGCAGTTAATGAACAGGGAGAAAATTTTCAATACTTGCTTATTCAGTTCTACTGCTTGTAAGCAGTCAAGCTTTGCTCATTAGATCAAAGGAGTCTAACCTTTAACTCAACAGCTAAGATTATTTAATAAAAGACAATGATTCAGCCAGGTATGGTTGTGCATGCTTTTAATCCTAGTACTTGGGAGGCAGAGGCAGGAAGATGTCTGTGAGGCCAGCATGGTCAACATACCAAGCTCTAGGACAACCAGAAATACATAAAAAGTCCTGCCTCAAAAATATAAATAAATAATTAAGTGAAAGACAATTATTCAAGTAAGTGCTTAGTATATGATAATTTGGTATTGACAATAAAGTTAACTACCAAGTGTTATACCATCAAATGTACCTTAGTGTTTAATTTCACCTCTGCAGAGTAAATGCTTCAGTGCCTGTTGCAGAATAATCCTTTTTGTACACTGTGAATAAGTATTACTCTCATTGATTTAATAAAGAGCTGACTAGCCAATAGCTAGGCAGGAAGATGCTAGGTAGGAGAATCAAAGATAAGATGCTGGGAAGAAGGACAGAGTCACAGAAGTCTCCAGCCAGACAGAGAGGTAGCAGGAGATGAACACACTGTGCTGAAAAAAAGATACTGCCAAATGGTAGAGTGGAGATAAGATATGTGGGTTACTTTAAGATGTAAGAGCTAGTTAGTAACAAGCCTAAGCTATCGGCTGAGCATTCAAAATTAGTTAAGTCTCTATGTGGTTATTTTGGAGCCTGCTGGAGGGACAAAACTGACTGAAGGGACAGAGAAAGTCCTTCCCAAAGCACTCAGAATCTTTATTTTAACTTACATGAACCTTGCCCATATCTCCTGCTGCTTATCCTAGGCTCAGAACCCTGAATGAATGAGTATAGGCTTTTATCAAGCCTGTCCCTAAATACATGAAAAGTACAGGAAAAAAAAAAAGGAAAATACCTCAGGGCAGTAAGTTTTTCCTCTATAACTTAATTTTTCAGGGAAAACCTTGACTAAGGGCTGGAGAGATAACCATTCAGAGGTTAAGATTGTGAACTGCCCAGCTGGAGGACCCAATTCAAGTCCTAGCTCCCATGTTGGGAGATTCAGAACTGCCTACAACTTCAGGGACCAAAATACTCTCTTCTGGATCCCATGGTTATCTGTGCCTACACACAAACACACACACCCACACTCTCTCTCTCTCTCTCTCTCTCTCTCTCTCTCTCTCTCTCTCTCTCTCTCTCTCTCTCTCTCACACACACACACACACACACACACACACCCATAAACCAACACACATGTACACACACACATACTTGCACATAATTAAAAATTGTCAGGTGTGAACTATGGAGACAAAAGGCAGCTGAGTTCCAGGCTACCCAGTACCACATATTGAGACCTTGTCTCAAACAAACAAACAAACAAAAAATCCTTAAAATACTGACTAAAATTATTATCACTTCTCTTAGAAAACTTGGGGATGACCAGCAGTGGTGGTGCACGCCTTTAATCCAAGCTTGAGTCAGAGGCAGGAGGATGTCTGTAAGTTTAAAGCCAGCCTTGTCTACAGAGTGAGTTCCAGGACAGCTAGGACTGTTTCAGAGAGAAGCCCTGTCTTGAAAAACAAAAAGGAAAAAGAAAAAGAAAACCAGGGGCTAGAGAGATAGCTCAATGGTTAAGAGAACTGACTGTTCTTCCAGAGGACTCAGTTCAATTCCCAGCACCCACATGGCAGCTGACAACTGTCTCTAACTCTAATTCCTAGGAACCCAACTCCCTCACACAGACATACATGCAGAAAACAGAACAATAACATAAGAATAAAATTTTTTGTTTGTTTTTGGAGACAAGGTTTCTCTGTATTGCTTTGGAGCCTGTCCTGGCACTCACTCTGACCAGGCTGGTCTCAAACTCAAAAGAATCCCATTTTTTTTTTTTTTTTTTTTGGTACAGAATATAGTTTAAGCAGGGCTGCTACAGATAAACCCTGTCTCAACAAACCCAAATATATAATGCAAAATAAATAAATGAGAGGAAGGGGTCAGGACAGAAGGTCAAACAGGTCAAATCAGTTACTGCTGCAGGTGGTTCAACACACATCCACATGTGATGACAAGGAGAGCAGTCTTCAAAAACTTCAAGTTAAAATGAAAACACGTGTTAGCTGACCTCTCTTCCGCTGACTGCTTGACTGAGCCTCATCCTCGCTGACATTCTCAACAGGACCATCTAATTTTGCTTCCCGGTTCTCTTTGCTCTCACTGTTGCTTCTTTTTTCAATCTTCTCTTCTTTTTCTTTTCTAAATTGTGGCTTCTTATTTCCTTGGCTGCTAACACTCTGAGACTGGAAAAAAAAAAAAAAAACAGTGTTCTGAATAGAATCATTTCTATTAACATTTCACTAAAAAAAAATCAGCATCTATTATAAATATTGCTAAACAAATGATAAAGTAAATAATCAAAATTAAAAATCTGGAAGGGTAGTAGTGCACTTGTCTAGTATGTATGAGGTACTGGGTTAGATCCCCAATTTCACCAACACACATTAATGCTGTGCAGTCACCATTAGTCTAAGAAATGCAAATTAACCATATATTTACTACAATGGCAATAAGTCTTAAAAACTGACCAAATTAAGAGTTAATGAGGCTGTGACCTAATGGAAATTCTTAGACACCACCATTGGGAGTGAAAACTTGGCAGTTTCTTTGTATAGCCCTTGCTGTCCTGTAACTCCCTCTGATCAGGCTGGTCTCATTCTTAGAGATCTGCCTGTTTCTGCCTCAGTGCTGGGCATAGGCCACCACTATCTAGTTCGTGGTGGTTTCTTAAAAATAATTAAAGAATAGCTAGCATATGACCTTGCCACTTCTCTCCTAGTTATTTACATTGGGGATTGGGGAGGAAATAATCATGCAAATTTTTATACAAAGTTTCATTTACAATAGCTAATGTAAGGTCCACCATTACATTACAACCATAACTGAAATGAATCACTGACACACACAACATGGAAAAAATCTGAGTAAGACAGAAACAACAGTGCCTCCTACACTATTCCACATACACAGAAAATACAAACAGTTGCTGGGTAGTGGGGATGACTGCAACATTTGCAAATAGGAGCCAACTCATTTTTTATGTTTGTGGTGATATAATGAGTTTACTTAGAGTGGGTGGTGGTGGCTCACAACTTTAATCCCAGCACTGGGTAGGCAGAGACAGGCAGACCTCTGAGTTCAAGGCCATCCTGGTCTACAGATCAAGTTCCAGGACAGGCTCCAAAGCTACAGAGAAATCCTGTCTCGAAACACAAACATTAAAAAAAAAAAAATCCCCTCCATCTAATAATAATTAAGTGCTAGAGAGATGGCTCAGCAATTAAGAGATTATGTTGCTCTTTCAAAGGACCTGAGTCAATTCCCAGAACTCAGTTTCTCCCAACCACCTGTATTTACACACAAAAAATCATATACATTAAATAAATAAATCTAATTTTTTAAGTCAAAAATAAAATTTAATCCTTTTTGTTAAAAAAAAAAATCACACAGAGATGCATACTCCTGGGGATATAGTCAAGCAGGGAAATGTAAATGAAAGTAGTATCTTATAATTCAGTAAAACACTAAAAAGGATAGCTGTCAGTTTTTTAATCATCTTATCAAGATTATAGCATATGTGATCATTATTATAAAATCAAAGGTAAAATGTACTCTGGGTAAATGTTAAGGTACTAAATTCATTACTAATACTATGGAACAAAGAATGTTTCAAGTCAAAATAATACTACTGATGAGCTATATCTTTAAATACACCCAATACAGCAAACAATACTGAAACAAGAATTTTCTCTTTAAAATAGACTTAAATACATACTTACCCCTGTGTTCACTAGTTCACCTGGCGTTGGCCAGTTTGCCATATCACTGAAGTCACTAGCCTAAAATGTAATAAAATAATTGTTATAACTGAAAATGATTTTTATAATTTTCAGACAGGAAAAAAAATATTTCAAAACACCATTTTTGTTGCCAGGCATGGTGGTATATGCCAGCAATCTTGAGCACTTAGAAGTAGGAGAAACAGGAATTCAAGATCAACCATGGACACAAAAAGCTAATCTGGGCTATAATGATACCACCGGGGCTCATGTGACAACATGTTTTGATCCCAGCACTCTGGAGGCAAAAAGCAGGTAGATCTCTGTGAGTTCCAGGCCAGCCTGGTCTACACAGTGAGACCCTGTCTCAACCAAAGGGGAAAAAAGCAACAGCAAAATCAAATAAAGTAATAGTAATTTTAAAAATCACCTCTATTTACTTCTATGTATACTTGGCAAGCTAATTCAAATATTTCGCAAACATTTTTAAGTAAAAATTCAATGGTCTTATAATCAGAGTTCAAGCCAGAATTGTTTCAAAATGATTTTCAAAATCAATACATTTAAAAAATACATCCTATAAAGGCATACCTTGTTGGATTTCTTTGTCTTGAGTTTTCCCGCTTTTATAATTTTGGGGGAGCTGAGCTCTAAAAAATATATATATATAAAACAGTTTTTACAACCATTTCATTTAATACATTTAGCAAAATAAGTATTATTCAATTTTGACAAGTTAGTATAGTCATCACTTACAACAAAATTCAAGTTTCTGGTACTCAAATTCCTAGAAGGACATCAACTGTAATACGCAAATTCAATGTTACCCACATTTAAAAAGTAGAAAATACTAGCAGAGCAGTAGGGTTTCAAGCCTTTAATACCAGCATTTGGGAGGCAGAGGCAAGCAGATCTGACATCCAAGGCTAGTGGCACATGCCTTTAATCCCAACACTTGGGAGGCAGAGACAGGTGGATCTCTGTGAGTTCAAGGCCAGCCTGGTCTACATAGTGAGATCCAGGACAACCTCCAAAGCAATACAGAGAAACCCTGTCTGGAAAAAAAAAAAAAAAAAAGAATGAAAAGGAAAGAAAGAAAGAAAAGAATGAAAAACTAAGAAAGAAAAAATATGGAAACTACTAATTCATACTAAGCTGGCAGACCAATCCTTTTATTAAGAAAATACAGGCCTGGAGGTGGTGGCAAACACCTTTAATCCCAGCGTTTAAGAGACAGAGGCAGATCTCTGAGTTTGAGTCCAGCCTGGTCTTCAAAAAGAGTTCCAGGACTGTTACACAGAGAAACCCTATCTCAGAGGGGGGGGAGGGAGGAAGGGAGGGAGAGAGAGGAAGAAAGAAAGGAAGGAGGAGGGGTGCACTGTCTCTAGAGAGAGAGAGAGAGAGAGAGAGAGAGAGAGAGAGAGAGAGAACCAGTACTCAGGAGACAGAGGCAGGCAGATCTGAGTTTTAAGGACAGCATGGTATATAAAGTGAGTTCTAGGACAGCTAGGACTACATAGAGAAACCTTGTCTTAAAAACAAACAAAAATAACAAAACAAAAAAGAGAAAATTCAACATAAAACTAAAACTAAAACTTCTAAGTAAAATTCCCTCCCTTTTAATTTTGTTTTTTAGCATGTCATGAATGGGAAGGCAAGTTACAGTCCCAGCCCTCAACTCTTTTTTTGGTTTTTCGAGACAGGGTTTCCCTGTGTAGCTTTGGAACTTATCCTGGCACTCACTCTGGAGACCAGGCTGGCCTCGAACTCACAGAGATTTGCCTCTGCCTCCTGAGTGCTGGGATTAAAAGTGTGTACCACCACCGCCGGGCTATAATTTTTTTAAAAACAAAGAAATCATCGAAAGCAACTTGGAGATAAAAACATTTGTTTCTCACACTCCTAGGTTAACAACAGTCCATCAGAGAGGGAAGCTAGGGCCAGGAAATCAGAGGCAGAAACTGATACAGAGGACTCTGAGGAGTGCTCCTTACTGGCTTGCTCAGACTGCTTTCTTTTAACACCCAGGGCTACCAGCCAGGGGATGGCACCACAATGTGTTAGATCCTCCAACAACAATCATTCATTAATTGCCTATAGGCCAATTTTATGGAGGAATTTTCTCCCCCCCACCCCCCAACCAGGCCTTAGCTGTCCTGGAACTAACTCTGTAGACCAGGTTGGCCTAGAACTGAGATCTACCTACCTCTGCCTTCCAAGTGCTGGGTTTAAAGGTGAGCACTACCAAGGCCAGGCTTGAAGGAATTTTCTAAATTGTAGTTCCCTCTTCTCAGATAATGCTAGTTAGTGCTGACAAAGCAACAACCAACCAACCAGGACAACCAGAATTCAGACACAAAAAGAAAAGTAACAGGTCTCTGTAGAAATTTGTGGGCTGGGCTGCAGTTCAGGGGCAGGTAGAAAGCTTACACAATATGCTCGAGGTCATCGCCCCAAACAAGCAAAACAGACAAACATTGCATCAACTGTCCTTATCTTGAAAGACAGCACAATGGCTGATCATAAGAACTGTCTTTAAATTAAGGGTTTTAAAGCTGCGGTTTTGTTTTTTTTATATTCACTCACCCACTCATGTATGTATGTATGTATGTATGTATGTATGTATGTATGTATGTATGTATGTATGTGGGTTTGTTTGTTTGAGCCAGGGTCTGGATGTGTAGTCCTGGCTAACATGGAACTGGTTATGCAGACCAGCTGGCCTCAAACTTGAATTGATCTTGTCTCTGCTTTCCTCCCTAGTATAGCCACCAGTTAACCATACCAGCCTGGGACTGGGAGCCTACCACAATAAGTCTCTCTCTCTCTCTCTCTCTCTCTCTCTCTCTCTCTCTCTCTCTCTCTCTCTCCACACACACACACACACACACACACACACAGAGCCTTCCCCACACCATAAAGCTAGCAATAGATTTAAACAGGATATAGAACACTTATCAACAAAGGTAATAGGGAACTGAAGCAGAGAACTACCCAAGTTCAAAACAAGGCTGGCTGTAATCTGAAATTCTCCTTGAAGTGAGGGGGTAGGCGGAAATAGTTTCTGGTTAAAGCTCTTGCTGCTTTTTCAGAGGACCTGAGTTTGGTCATGCAGGTCATAACTGCTTGTAACTGCATCTACAGGAGGTTCAATAATATCTTTTGGCCTCTGTAGGCAAATGCATACCCCTCCCATTCACATGCACTTAATTAAAAATAATATAACAGTCAAGTGTAGTGTCACAGGGCTTTAATACCAGCACTTAGGAGGCAGAGAGGCAGGCATATTTGAAGAGGCCAGCCTGGTCTACATCGAGAGTTTCAGGATACCCAGGGCTACATACAGGCCCTGTTTCAAATAAATTAAATAACTATATGTATACTTTTTAAAAGAATTCTTATCAAAGAAAGAAGATAACACAGCATGGTAAAATGTGCCTGTAATACACTACAAGTACATGAAATAGCATGTGTAGGTGTATACATATATGTGCATATGAATAAAACATGTCAAAGAACATACAACATTGGCAATCAATCAAAATGCAGAGTTGTGGAGCCCAGTCTCATTGGATATAACTGCAGTACATACAACACATTCACCTATGGCTCAGGGAACATTGCAGAAGAGGGGGTGGAAGACAGAAAGAACCAGAGGAGGATCAGGATCAGGGAGTATGCTGTGAGACTGGGTCTCACTGGAATGCCAGAAGCTACACCCATAAAGTCTTACTAATAAGACTACCTAAACATTAGCTGATCGAGGACAACACTTATAATATACATGCCAAAGTAGACAGGGGAATGACCATAAAGCCTCAGTCCTACACCAACAGCTACAAGATACAAAGGAATGTTCAAAGAGGGAGAAATAGTCTTCCCCAGGAAGAAAACAGCTGGCTATCCAAAACCAAATGGTCAGCCCAGAAAACATACATACAAGTAACATTAAACAAACACAGAAGGCTGTTTTTATGTATAGGAATGAATATATACAGGAATAACGATGAAAAAGAGGTCATAAATTTGAAAAAGAGCAAGGAGGGGTATATAGGAGGGCTTGGAGGGAAGAAAGGAAAGGAGGAAATGATGTTATTAATATTATAATCTCAAAAAATAAAGTTTTTAAAAACCTCTCCATGCAAAACAACAACAAAAACAGGAGTATAGGACAAAAACGGGGGTGGGGGGGTGGGTGGGGGGGGTGGAGAAAGAAACCTCAATGTCCAGTAAAAATATTTTTGGGGCTGGAGAGATGGCTTAGTGATCAGGAGCACTGGTTGCTCTTGCAGAAGACCCAGGTCCCAGAACCCACATGGTGGATCACAACTGTCTGGAACTCTAGCTCCAGGGGATCCAATGCCATCTTCTAGCCTCTGAAGACACTATGCACACAGGTGGTAAAAGACATACATTCAGGTAAAACAAAACAAAACAAAACAAAAACCAAAAACTCATAAAATAGGGAAACAAATCTTTAAAAAATATATCCAAAAATCCAGGTTGATGGATTTTTGCAAGTCTATAATTCCAGCACTGGAAAGGCTGAGGTAAAAAACTCAAAAACAAAAATGGAAATAAAACCAAAACCCCTAAGGCTAATCTGACCTACAAAGCAAGATTCTTATCTAAAAGAGGAGAAAACTCCAAAACTCAAAAACAAGGAAAGACTTAATTCTCTCTTTTGCTAACAAAGAAAATATCAATTTATAGTCACTGGAAAGCAATGTGTCAAACAGTAATACCCTGCAAAATAACACTTCATTTCTACATTTACCCTAGGGAAAGATGTAAACAAACACAAAAGATACATATAAAATGCTGCATTGTCAGCCAGTGGTGGCACATGCCTTTAATTCCTGCATTTGGGAAGCAGAGACAGGGGATCTCTGTGAGTTCAAGGCCAACCTGGTCTAAAGCGTGAGTTCCAGGACAGTCAGGTGTGTTTCAGAGAAACCCAGTCTCTTGAAAAACAAAAACAAACAAAAAAGCTGTTTTGTCAAGATAAGGGAAGGGAACAAGCAAGGCTCTAAATTACCTATATGAGCTATATCTATGGATTACTCCACAATTTTAAAAGTGAGTCTAGATTATAAAGGATTAGCCTTTATAACAACTAGACATCACTATGGTGATGAAGTGGCACAGGCCTTGAATCACCATATTTCGGAAGTGAAGGCAGGAAGATCAGAAATTCAAGGACTGCTTAAGCTACTTAGTTTCAGGCCAGCCTGAGGTACACAAAGCCCAATCTCAAATTTTAAATTAAATTAAACTTAAAAACCAATCAGTACTTTAAATAAAAAGGGTGGATGAAATTTCATGCTCCAAGCACATCTATAGAATACACTTTTTAAAGGAATTGCTAGAAACATCTAAAAAAAAAAAATTAAGGAAACTGATTAATCAGTAACATGATTTTTTTTGAACTTTTTTTTGAAGGGAATATCAAAAGATCAAGAGTTATGGGTCTTCTCTGTGGTGTATGTTGAGATGAAATGCACAGGCTCAGCTATGTGAGGTAAGCACTCTGCCAACTGAGCCCCAACAGTTTTGGAACCAACACAACCCCCACAGTTTTATTTTTAGGATATATATATATATATATATATATATATATATTATTTGCTTAAGATGTATTTCATGAAGGTTTAAACAGCAAACTTACTTACTTGTGGTTAAAAAAAAAAAAAAGGAGAAAAGTGGGTTGATAAATAGTAACATAAAGCCAGGCAGGACAGCAAATGCCTTTAATCCCAGTACTAGGGAGGCAAAGGCAGGTGGATCTGGGGGCAGCCTAGTCCACATAGTGAATTCCAGGTCAGCCAAGGCTATATAGTGAAATCCTTTCTCAAAACAACACAGGGTCAAAGAATAAATATGAAAAAATGGGCAAAATATCAATATTTTATATTCCGAGTTTTTGTGAAATTATACAAGACTGATTTTTTTACTATACAACTACAGCTACAAGCAAGTGATTAGCAAACCATAGACTGTTAATGAAGGGGTTGTTAAATTATAACTAACACAAGCTTAGGATAGTTTGAGAAGATCTTAGATCAGAAGTCTCAATACTGAATTCAAGACATTTCTAGGTGGGCCTGGTTTTGGTTGAAGTGTTTTATCTGGTTTCCCAAAAACAGCAATATATCACCAGGGCCATCCTAAAAGTGGAGGTGTGCCTCAAAACATGGGAGCCAGCCTGGTCTATAGAGTGAGTTCCAGGACAGGCTCCAAAGCAATACGGAGAATCCCTGTCTCAAAAACACCAAAAAAAAAGAAAATCTGCCTCACTTTTGTCTAGAGGTTAGACTGCCGATATGGCTGGCTAAGTAGGTAAGGGAGCTTGCCGCCAAGTTGGTCCCCAGAACATACATGATCTAAGAGAAACGACTGCCCCAAAGCTGTTCTCTGATCTTCACATTAACCACTGTGGCACTGCTGGGCAGTAGTGGCACACACCTTTAATTCCAGCGCTGCAGAGGCAGAGGCAAGTGATCTCTGGACATTCCAGGTCAGCCTGGTCTACAGAGCAAGCAAGTTCTAGGACAGACTCTAAAGCTAAAAAGAAACTCTGTCTCAAAAGAGTATCCTATTTTAAAATAAATTCTAAGACCGTCCTCTCAATAAATTGCTAACTTAATATAGCTTAATATGCATCCTTTAAGTCCTAAATGATCTCTGGACATATTTGATTATTTATCATTACTATTTTCTCTTTTTGATACAAGGTCTTACTTTATTTAACTTTAATTATGTGTTTATCTATGTGCATGTGAGTACAGGGGCCCAAGGAGAGAAGAGGGTATTGAGACTCTCTGGATTTGGAATTACAGGCAGCTATTTGCTACACAATGTGGATTCTGGGAACTGAAACTCAGATCCTCTGAAAAAAACACTATATATGATCTTAACCTCTGAGCCACCTTTCTCTCCAAGTCCTGCCTCACTATACTTCTTTGGCTGGTCTCAAACTCCTAGGTGTAGTTGATCTTGCAGCCTCAGTCTGAGTAGCTGGGGCTATAGGTATGTACCATTACACATCTCATCCTTTTTTATTTCATACTTTAGAAATTTTCTTACTTTTTATTTTTGTGTATGTCTCCACCCATGTGCAGACACCCTCAAGGATCAGGGGCAATAGATCCTCTGGAACTGGGTTAGCCTCTTGATGTGGGTGCTAGAAATGAAAAGAGTCCTCTGAAAGAGCAGTAAGTTCTCTCTCTCTCTCTCTCTTTTTTTTTTTCAGTAAGTACTCTTAACCACTGAACCATCTGCCCAAGCCCTATATCATCCTATTGATTTTTCTTAGGGAAATGAGAGGCCACAGTACCTAGCTTTCAAGTATAAAACACTCTAGTGTTAAGAAGTGGGTCTAATAGGAGTGGTGGTGTACACCTTTAATCCCAGCACTTGGGAGGCAGAGACAGTCAGATCTTTGTGAGTTTGAGGCTAGCCTGGTCTGCAAAGTGAGTTCCAGGACAGCCAGGGCTGTTACAGAGAAACCCTGTCTTGAAAAACAATCAATCAAACAAAAAAAAAAAAAAAAAAATTGGCTCCTCTATGCCCATCATCCCAGGGGCAGGTTTGAGGGGGAGGCTTGGGTTTGTTGCTAGCCGGTCTGCAAAGTGAGTTCCAGGACAGCCAGGGCTGTTACAGAGAAACCCTGTCTTGAAAAACAATCAATCAAACAAAAAAAAAAAAAAAAAAATTGGCTCCTCTATGCCCATCATCCCAGGGGCAGGTTTGAGGGGGAGGCTTGGGGTTGTTGCTGGAATGGATAATTCAGAAAATGCCATCTCAAAACAAAAACCAAAAAAAAAAATTAAAACAACAACAACAAAAAACCAGGTGGGGGGTAGTGGCTCACACCTTTAATCCCAAAACTCGGTAGGCAGAGGCAGGCAGATCTGTGAGTTCTAGGCCAGCCTGGTCTACAAGAGCTAATTCCAGGACAGCCTCCAAAACCACAGAGAAACCCTGTCTTGAAAAAACGAAAAACAAACAAACAACAAAAAAACAAATAGAAAACATGAACCAATCCATGTCATTAATTTACAAGCCCATTAAACCTTACCAAAAGTCAACTAGTTAGTTAGTAACAACTAAACTATCATCTGCTTCTTTCAGCAGTGCATTCCTATACCACAATCTCTTATTTAGGTTACCTATTAGACACTGTGGAGGAACAGTTTAGATTCAGGGTTGCTACCCTAACATAATGAAGAAAAGCATTGTTAATATTGCAGAGTGACCAAGAAGTAAGAGTTGTCAATAAAGAAACATTGATACAACTGAAACTCCTTTTGATTTTTTCTTTTGTTTTTGAGACAGGGTCTCCCTACATATCCCTGGCTGTCTTAAGTCACTAGGTAGATGAGGCTAGCCTTGAACTCAGATATCTATTTGTCACTCCCTCAAGAGTGCTGGGACTAAAGAGTGAGTCACCAGGCCAGGCTCCTTTTGATTTTGAGATCCTGGTCTTGAGTGTAGTCCAGGCTGACCTAAAACTCATGATCCTCCTGCTGGAATTACAGGTATAGGTCATATTCCCAGTTAAGTGTCACTATTTTTTTTTCTTCTCTCTCCTTTTTTTTTTTTTTCCCAAGACAGGGTTTCTCTGTGTAGCTATGGAGCCTATCCTGGCAGTCACTCTGGAGACCAGGCTAGCCTCGAACTCACAGAGATCCTCCTGCCTGAGCCTCTCGAGTGCTGGGATTAAAGGTGCACCACCAACTCCCGGCTATTAGTGTCACTATTCTTAATCTAAGAAAAACTGAAGATCCAAGGCACAAGTAGGTCAACTGTCAAAGATTTTTCCAAGTAATTTGCAATTAAAAATTCCTGAGGGGGTGTAGGAAATCTGCATTTGCAGCTTGATGATAAAGCACTGGGCCCCAGGCTCATCCCCAGCATAGGAAGAAGGGAAAAAAAAAGAATCCCAAGTCCCTCTGAAAAGTTTTAAAGTCTAAAAAACTGGGTTTATAAAAACTGACTTCATATTTGGTAGTTCAATAAATACAAATCTAGACAAGGAGAGGTAACAAGGAGAGGTAACTGTCAATAAAGCAATCAACAAGGGCTTTCTTTTCTTACTAAATTTTAGAGAGACTTGGCACAGCATGTTTTATTCACTTAGCAATGGTAGTAAACAGCTCTTTTCAGCTAGGCCAGAATTATGCCAATACTAATGGAGAGCAAAATTCAGTAGGTTTTTTTCCCGTTAAAGTGCCAAAATTTAGTAAGCATTGAAGAGGAGAAATACCTATAAACCCAGCAATTGGAAGGAGGGCAGTAGCAGGAGGAACAAGAGTTCCAGACCAGCCTGGGCTACTCAGATCATGTTTCAAAAGCAAACAAAATAACTAACAAACAAAAAATTAATGAGGATTTCCGTGCAAAAGCTAAGAAACTAAGTCAACATTTATCTCCTCCCTACAGATACAACTATCACATTTGTACAGGATCCTTTGGCTGCATTTGACCCCCACAACCCCGTAAACATGCTCAAACTTCGGCTGTTCCACCGAGTCTCCTCAGAACAGAGAAAACTTGACAACAAAACAACCTCTATTTCCATAGAAAGCCCAGTTATTTTAGTACAGTTTTTTTTTCCTCTCAGCATTTCCATTCTTTTCTTTCTTTCCTTTTGAAATACTTTACTAAATTGCTCAGTCTGGCTTCGAACGCCCAATCTTCCACATCCATGGGGTTACAGGCGTGCGCTACCAAGTACAGGTCAGTAGTTTCTAAACTACAGTTGCTGCAACCCAAATAAAGCCCTAAGGTCCATATTGCATTGGTCAGCATTCGAACGCAATGGCACAACCCAATCTCTAAAGCGCAGGCTACCATGGGACCAGCCGTGCGATCCAGACTCTCAATCAACTGTCCTATGTCAGGCATTCTGAAACACGACCGAAAACCACCTCAATGCCAGCTACATTCAGAGCCACAACTACCTAGCAGCCTTCTGACACTTTGCATTTCACCAGTTACTTCACGAGCGAGCCCGATCTTGCTTGGAACTTGCACGCAAATCCGCTTATTCTGACTCGCTTACACTCAGGCAAGTTCACGGAAACTTTCCCATAGTCTTCACTACGTCCAGGTCGCCGACACGTGAAGGCACAAGTCGAGCCGGGCCGCGGTGCCCAGTCACCCACGCCGTGCCCCTAGCCGTCAAGGAGAACCTGAGGTCCCACCTCTTCCTGTCGCTCCCTCTCCCAGATGTCCATTTATGTAAATCGGCACGTTGAATGACACCTAGGAACCCAGCACCTCCC